CACTTGGCCGCTTGCAGAAGAGAGGGTGACATATCTATCTGGACTTAAGTCGTCTGTGTTCACAGAATCAGAGAAGCCAAGCCACTGGATTGCAGAATGGCTCCTGAGTGCTCTCTGGGCCCACGTGTGTCTCTGAGGGAAGCGTGGAGGGGCTGCTGAGAGCCAGGACCCACGCAGCCCACAGAGCTTCCCTGCCCTCTGCCCCATCGCCTGCCTCCCGCTGCCCTCCAGGTTCTTCCCTCTGCTGCCTGCGTGGCGGACACCTCTGCCTCCCTCTTCCCCACTGAAGTCTGTGCTTATCTTCCCCACAGTCTCCGGACTAGCACCCGTTCCCTGCTGGGCACTCACTGGATTCAGAGGAGGCAGCAGAAGGAAGAAGGCTGTAGCTGAGGAGGCTGTGGCTGAGGAGCCCAGGGCAGGAGCCCTTTTATCCTGTGCAGGGTTAGTGATGCACAGGCTTAGCATGCTGCCGCTTTCACACCCAGGGGAGGAGACAGAGCCCAGTACTCCCACCCGAGGTCTGCAGCATCCTCTTCATGCTTGCCATAATGCCTGGCAAGAGAGAATCAGTACATCCTTGAGTACTACTTTCCAGATGTGATGAGGACCAGACATTTCTTTCCTTTCACCTATTCAGCTTAGATGCTATAACTTGAACTGTGTCTTTTGTTTTTTCTGGACAATGTAAATGTAGAGATGCAGATGACACATATCCTGACCTTGAGTATTTCAAGTTTAACTGGAGTGACAGAGAAATAAACATATATGTCTGGTACTTTGTGATTCATCTGTGAAATCAGTATCCCTAAATACATCTCTTGCTATGCATGCTGTCAAAGAGATCCTGACTGTAGAGGAGGTTGGGTGACCTGAGACCACTGAGCCCCAGGAATGAAATGTACTAGGTAATGGATGGAGGAATGGAGTTATACCTTATCTGAGGTAGGTGCACTTCCTCATAGAACTAAAGCCAAAGTGGGATTATAATGGAGCAGACTAGAAGATGCAGACACAACTACAAACACACTCAGCCACCTTGTCTTTGACAAAGGGGCCAAACATTTTCACTGGAAGAAAGACAGCCTCTTTAATAAATGGTGCTGGAAAAACTGGCTTTCTACATGCTGAAGACTAAAATTAGACCCAAGTCTATCACCATGCACTAAAGTCAAAATGGATCAAAAATCTAAATATTAAAACAGAAACATTAAATCTATTGGAGGAGAAAGTAGGTAGAAATATTGAAGACACAGGGGTAGACAGAGAGTTCATGAACAAAAACCAAACTGCACTGGAAATACTTCAAAGAATCAACAGCTGACTTTTCATCTTACTGAAAAAATTTTGCACATCATAATAAATTACCAACAGAGCAAAAAGAAACTCAGAAATTGGGAAAAAAATTTAGCTGACTGTCTCTCAAACCAAGGACTTTTATCTAGAACATATTGAATTTTTTAAAAATCAGACCCTCCACATTCAAAGAACCATTAAAAAATGGGCTTCTGAGATGAACACACACTTCTCACATGAAGGAATACAAATGGCAATAAATATATGAAAAAAAAGTTCAACATCATTGATCACTTGAGAAATGCAAATTAAAACAACAATGAGATTCCATCTCACCCTAGAAGGAATGGCTATCATCAAGAAGTCAACCAATAACAAATGCTGGAGGGGCTATGGAGAAAAAGAGACTATTCTCCACTGTTGGTGGGAGTGTATACTGGTGCAATCACTGTGGAAATCAGTGTGGAGATTCCTCAGAAAACTAGGATTAGAGGTCCTATCTAGCCCAGACATTCCCCCTTTGGGTATTTTTCCAGAAGAGTTGAAAACATCATACCAAAGTGATATATGTGCACCCATGTTTATAGCAGCATAATTTGTCATAGCTAAATCTTGGAAACAACCCAAATGCCCATCCACTGAGGAATGAATGTGGTATTTTTATACAATGGAGTATTACTCAACTATAAAAAAGATAAACTCGAGGCTTTTACAGGAAAATGGATGCAATCAGAGACCATACACATAAGTGAAATAAATCAGACCTGCGTGTATAAACATCATACTGTCTCCCTAATGTAAGAACTTGAGAAAGTAAATAAAACCGAAAAGGTGCAATAGATATTCTGAAAGGGAAAGAAGTTGCTCAAAGGGAAGGAACAACTGGGATGAGGGAAAGAAGAAATGAAAAAAGGAAGGAAGGGAAATATATATATGGATATACAAGGATAGCTGGGATAATTGTACTGCAGAGGTCTATTGGTTTATTGAAAGGAACAGTTAGTGCTTAAATTTTTCTTTTTCTGACCAATTTTGCACTATTATATCTGGTAATCTGAACAACTAATTTGAAGACAACAATATGCAATATAACAACTATTGCTGAATCCCTACTGTCTTGATTAGGGAAACTCTGTGTCATTTATAATGTTTTTTATTATTTTATATTCTCTTTAATTGTTTGATCAATCTTGCATTCTTACATCTGGTAATCTGAACAACTTCACTGAAGATAACAATACAACAACCATTGTTAACTTCCTATCACCTTATTTTGAAATTTTGTATCGTTTTTATTGTTTTTGTGTTGTTTTGTTTCTGCTTTTGCTGTTGTTATTTTGTTTTTTTTCTCTTTGAATAGAACAAAACGTGAGATTAGATGGACGAGCAGACAAATTTTGACAGGACCTACGAGAGCTGAGATCACAAGACTCATACTTAATATGAAAAAGCCAAATTTGCCCATATTTGTCTTCCCAAAGGATTTATGATATTTATAAGAAAATAGAAGTACCTGTGAGCATGGAATATTGAAGATAATTGATGGGAGTCAGGAGGGTGATTTATTTTGTTATTAATGAAGATGGAGATATGTGGATCATAGTTAAAGGACCAAATCTGATAATTACTAAGGCTTGTGTAGGATGATTTTTGTGAAGCCTTAATTTTATTTTCTCATTGGATTTCATAGTAATACTGGAGATGAAATTCTCAACAAACTCATCCCCAGCCACAACAGAGGCATTTGGCTCTTTGTTACCAACAAAGCTCCAGTCAGAATTAGAACATTATCTATAGTTAAATTATGGTTTTTTAATGAAGGACTTTTATGATTAATATATGTGACTATTTATAGTTTATGACTTTTTGTTGGAAAATTTCCAAAAAGTGTATGTGGTTTGCAACTTACCCACTTTAAAGCATGGCAGTTCCATGACTTTATTCTGAGACACCCAAGGGAGAATGACTGGCCCTTGGCCTTAGAGGATATGCCTTGGGATGGAAGAAAGGTGGGGTTAGAGCTGGTATTGGCTCTCTTCTCTGATAGTCTTCTGTCTCCAAGAATTTCTTGTTGAGATGTACTTTTTAAGGTGCAGAACTATGCTGGGATGTGGATTTATTTCACATTGTTTAAGACTCCACCATTACTAATACATTGGACAGAATTACTCATGGAGGGTGAAGAGGGTAAATTTTACATCAGTCTGGATGATGACGTTGACAAAGGATATGGAGGGTTGAAAAGCACATCACAATTTCCCCCTGTTTTTCTGACGATGGAGGCCAGAGACAGTAAGATGAGCAGATGACCAATCTAATGAGAGCACACCACTTGGGAACACTGGGCCTTCTAAAGGTTCTGTCATGGCCCTTTGTTGGGATTCTGGTTAGAGGCACTGCCTCCTCTCTTTCCTCAGTTTCAGTCTTTGCCTTGTGCTCCCTCACTTGCCACTAGTAGAACCTCTCTCCATGAATTATCTTCCAGTTAAGTCATTCATTTCGTATTCATTTAGTAAACTCTTATTGAACAACATCAATGTTCCCCATCCAGAGAGCATCAGGAAATCCTCTGTAGCAGAACCATTATGGTTATGGGCTTGCTGCAGTGGTAGAGATGTTCACTATTTGGAATATGTAGAGATGGTTGTTATGGAATCGGAGCTTGTGTTGGTTAATTTGGAGGGAGATTTAGGGGACTGATGTTCTGCTCTGGTTGGGTAGGGTCAGAGAGCAGAGACATTACTGTGATAGAGTGGCTTAATACTTTGTAACTAGAGAGCAGAAGCAACGAGGCAGGGCTAGAGCTGTCAGTGGTGAAGAGGTAGAAGTCACTAATATTTTCTAAGAAAAGGAGAAGTTTTGTTATTTTTGTGGTTTGGACAATGCTTTTATATTGTTGATACAGTAGTTTTGTTTCTGTCTTGTTCCCTTGAGGTCACAAAGTTATCTTGTCTGATTTTGGAGTTTTGTGAAATTGTTTATGCTCAACAGAAGAAGATCATTAGCCTAGCTATTAGAGCCAGACCGGCTGCTGCCAGCACTCTGTGGCTACTCCTCTTTTCCTAGCAAAGGTCATGGGTCAAGTTTCATGGCCAGCAGTGGGGACACAGCAGTTATTAGAGTCTCGGTATTTCTATTCTGTGAGATAACAGTCTAGCAAATTGAACAA